GGTTTATTTTAAGGAAGAGAGAGTGATGTGCAATATCTTATTTGTGGAATGTTTGTTTATAGCTCATCTTTCCATATGTAGTTATTTTGTGTATTTGCCTTTCACGTTCTTGGTTCAATGTTTTGAGTAAAATATGATAGGTATACCATAGTAGTATACAGTACCACACATGTACATGTACACAATCAAAAGTTATAATATCCTTACTAAATAATTCTTATTTACATTCTTATTTAAAGGGAGATGGTTTTAACAATTAAAAATGTAACGTGTAGTAAAAAAAATTGGTGTACATCACTCCCTTACTGTCACTCAGTTACTTACTCCAAGACAAATGAGAGATGGTGGTGCACACCGGGGTAGTCTTGCACAGTTTTTCCAATGTGGTTTTACTGCAAATGGCAAATAAATGAATCTGAATCTGAATCTGAGATTTCACTGCTTGTTCAAACGAATAACATAAAAAACTGACAATAAAGGGTTGTTTCTAATGTAATATATTGGACTGTGACTATATTTGTTTTCACTTATTACATAAAAAGTGACATGCAATTGATGGACTGGAGCTGACCAGAGTCCAGGGCTGTTTTTGTCCCAATCCCTGCCTGAAGGAAACTCCAAGGTAATTGTTCTTGACCAAGCCTAATGCCGTCACAGTGCTGTGTGTAGAGAGAAGTTTGTGTTGTGACTGTTGGGTGCCGATTGTGTGAAGGGTCAGGACCCTGTTCCCTTTCACCTAATAAACTGGCAACACGAACGAGAGCCTCAAAAATAACGAGGAAAGTCCCGATGAGATATAATAATGTCTTTTTCAGGGGAGTCATGGCCCCAGAAAAAGGGGGCTCCTGTACATGTTTTAAGTGGTATGGGAAACCACAGCACCCGGAGGAAACCTACACACACACGAGGAGAACTGCAGCAAGAGTGCTAACCCCTCCAACCACCGTACCGCCCTCTGCGTTCTGATTGGGTAATCTGCGTGAAAATTCTAAACAGAAATAATTGTACATGTTGGCCAATTATCGTGGGCAGATATAAAATCTAATTTAGTGTGTGTGTGCGCAAAGATGCTTGTTGCTGTAACTATACAGTGGTGCCATTTACAGAATAAATAGCGTTTAACACAAGATTGTATATTTGAGTCTAGGTGGGAAAAATCTAGGTGGGGGTTATTTTGGCTGGTAACTAATTACTTTTACCCCTCAGTAATGCAGTAACTAATGCCCCCATAAGAAATAAGTAGCATAACTTATTACTTTTTTGAAGTAATGTGACACTGGTGTGTGTATTTATGTTCAACACACTGATGCCAATGTATTTGCCTATAATTTCATGTATGTTATTTTATTAATTGTTAAATTGTTTTTTTATTCTCGTGCTGGGTCTTTTTCAAGCACCTGAATGCGGTCATCATTGACTGCAAGTTACATGCTGTTAACACGGTCAAAGCGGAGTAAAATCAGGCATTCACCAAAAATGTGAAATATGGAGTGAATTATATGAGGACCACATAAACATTACAGCTGAGCCGCTGTGGATCTTAGACTGGACAATTTATATTACATTGAATGCAATTCGTTTAATTCTTTTAAAAAAAATGTTTTTCTAAAAGATAGGTCAGCAAAGCTAATGTATCACATTTTATGTGAGTCTGTGTGTGATGAGTTAAAGCAGACAAAAACAGCGGGGGTGCTAAAAAATTAACAACAGAGACCAGAACAGTGTTTATTCAGGGCCCTTATGTATATTATTTACTATAACATCAAGTGCAGTACTTTAACTAACACGATTACCTTTGGTCGGAAGTGGCTTTTTTGAAGACACGTCCAACACAAGCCAGAGGCACACAGTAGACGACTGCTTTGGCATTGTGGTGAAATATAAACAATTAATAATTATAGTAGAAATATAAACTATAAAAAGAATAAGAGCCTACATCAAATATACTTAAAACACAAAAATGAAAATGTATCTAATCTAAAAACACAGCAACAAATCTTATTTATCTCATCTTGCACTTGTAAAGGTCATTTGTTAAAGAAACAGATAAATTAAGTGATTTAGAATCATCTTTGTGCTGTTTTTTTTCCAACCCACGGATCTCTGTTTCCAGCAGCACAAGCCAACAAACTGTATCAGCAGATACAGCACTCCAACGCTCGCCTTCATAGTATACAACGACTCCAAGAAACCAATTTCGGCAGCAATGAGGAAAAAAAAGAATCAGGCCAGTTCTCTGGGGAGAGATAGAGGTGCAGAATGTAAACTTCTCTGGCAAGCTATCTCTTGTGGATTGAACTGTAAAAAGAAGCTCTAATGCTCACTTCATGTGAGACACTTACTGGACAATTTGCATTACACAAATACCGGTAAATAAGTTCACTTTACAATAATGTTGTCATAGAAATAATAGTTAAATAATATTAGTAAATGATATTGTAACTCTGAGAGTCCAAATAAGTCTCAACAAACTAGCTCCACATTTTGATTTCCTTTATGTCTCATCTGTGGAACTGGAATTTGACTGATGCTCACACAGGTTTGAGTGTTTCGTCTGAGTGAAGCAGGACAATGGTGAAGGTCACATGTTTCTGAAATGAATGACTTCAGTCTGCAACAAGCTTTTGTTTTTAACTCAATGATGTCTCTTACAGACAGGAAGAGCGTTGATGTCCTACCAAAGTGAAATATAGACAGGTATTAAGGTATAGAGAGTAATACCACACTATAGTGCCTTTTGCCGATGATATTATTATCCATGGAACACTATTTGGCAGTGGAGTTTTTGCAAAATGTGGTATGGCTGCAGAATCCTGTTATGACTCCTTTGACACAGTTAAGAGATATGCCTGCGAATAACAATCACTGAATATATCAGTCACATAAACTCAGAACTCTTCTGTTTTCAAATCTATGCCAGAGAAATATTAGTAAGATCAAGAGATCAAATGAATACACAGACTTGATCAACAAGATGCTCAAGGCTTAACACTTTTACATTCGCTGCTGTATATTTCATATTTCAGTTCACAGTTGTCAGCCCCCTAAGGATCTAATGAACAACTGCATTTTACTCTCATTGATATCTAACTCAATTGAGATCAAACTCCTGAAAATATGGATGATCTAATCAAAGATGTGTCTCACCTAATTTCAGGGATGGATTAGGACGAAATTATGTGATACTGGAGTTGAAACTCCAAAATCACATAATTTTGTATGGATTTGTATACCTAATGTAGTATAGTGAAAAAACATTAGTGGTAGTATAATGTACTATTATTTTTGTACAAATAATTCATGTTCACGATTATATTATATATTGTATGAATAGTTTTAATGAATCAATAAATTGAGCCTATACATAAATATCAAAATTGAGTTTGAAATGTTTTTTGTTGTGACCGCACCATTTTGTCACACAAAACAGTTGAACGATGTTGTGTGTCACAGTAATTTGTGTGTGAATGTCCCTGGTGTTATGCCAGAGCCTGTTCTGCTGAGTGTGCACATTCTCAGAGCAGCGTCCCATTGGAGTGACAAGTGCATTTAGAAACAGCCTGATGGAGTCATTAACAGTGGCTCTGCTCATTAGCAGCACGCGTGCACACAGACCCGCGCCCACACTTGAGTTATCCACAGCCTTGTCTTTAGGTTAATACTCTGACAGTGGATAAATCCATAAAACCCAGTCGGAATGGTGCATTTGTGAAAGGGGCTTCAAAAACAATATCATTTAATATCCAGGCATCCATTTATGAAAGTGTGAGTGATGCACGGAAACAAAACCACAATCAAAGTCCATTGATTTCTGGAATAACGACAAAGCATCCTTTGTCGATCTCTCCTCCTTGTTGCCTTTATGAGATTGTAGTGATGTGGAGTAATCAAGGACATTGAACTAAAAAACACACTTTCCTTCCTGGAACAATAAACAGCACAGCTATACAAAAAGGCTGGTGATATAGGTGTATTGCAAATGCTGTTTTCATTTGAATGAGCATGAGGCATTACATCACAGCAATGAGCACGAGCAGAAATAAGTGGCTTCAAAGGGAACATTATGTTCTTTGCGATTATTAGCCTTAAATGCCACCACTTCTTATTTGCATTGGTGAGTCATCGATGAGACATGCCACTTTATATCTCAGGACTTGGTTAACACAGCAGTGAGACCCTGGAGACTGGCTGTAATAATCAAACATTAAGTGTCAAAGAGAAGCTGACAATTAATGGTGCCATATGATAAATACATGAGGCAACTATTCAAAGTCATACAGCAATGAACCTAATACAGTACAACTTTCACAACATTCACCATGAGCTCAGACAGCATTAAAAAAACTGAAATACCTAAAAACGTATTTTTCTTATGTGTAACCAAAGATGATTGTAAGAAAACAAAACCTAAATGGCACACTGTGGGAGTTCAAAACAAAATGCGAATAATTGAGTTAAATCTACTTACTATCGTATCTGTTTTCTATTCTAATGTAAATTGGTAACTAAACTGGGAACTCTTTGTGTGAGTTGTTTTGGATATTTGTAAAGTAGGGTCCTAGATTATAATATGCATTTTGAGCATCAAGTAGCATGCTCTTATAAAAATATGCCTGCCTGGCGTGATTACATACACTGGTTTTGACAGTGTGTATGATGTCATGGAATCCATCTAAATAACAAGATATTTTATTGACCTATTAACCAGGATAGTAACACCGAGATTTCATTATGTCTTTTTGTGGTACCATAGGACTTCCCCTAGTTTATTTATTTTTATTTTTACACTTTTTATCTATATCTCCAGCACAGACCCATCTATGGTTTGGCATGGGCTTTCTACAAAACAGTGTTACAGTTTATGTTATGGTTTGAAAAGAGCACTGTAGAAACTAAATGTTTTGGGTTTTTCTGTATACATGAGTATATCGAGTTATTAAAGATGCTTCACTAAAGAGAAAAGATGGAAAATTAGTTAAATTCCGGCACTTGGGTCTCACCTAGTTTGGCCCTCTCCCTCTGCACGTCCTTGAAGTTGAGGCCGCTGGTCCATGTGCTCTCTCTGTATCTGTGCAGAGCCTCTCGCCGGCCGTTGGTGCCGAGCTTCTGCAGCACTGCCGGCTTTAGGGGCTCCACCTTCAGTCCGTGCCTCCATATCGACGAGTCCGGCACAGACCACTTTACCAGGTCCTGCAGGCGAACAATCACCTTCTCGGACACCGCGATGACTTCGTGCTGCAAAAACAACCCACGACAAAGACAAAGGGTCACACTCTGAGTTCAAATGGGACAAAAACAGAACGGCCGTATTTATCAGCTTGATTGGTGTGTGTGTCGAAGCACATTAGGATTGTGTTAGTGTAAGTAAATTAATGGAAACATGAATATGGATAGAGCTTGTGATTGCTGAATTGAATTTAGGCCAGCATTTAAATCAATGTCAACAAGGACATTGTTGTTTTAAGAGGTTTTCATCAACATCTATTCACTCATTCACTGCCAGCTCATAGAGCAGCATCCCTCATATTTTGGATATTTTTAGTGTTTTTCCAAACCTCATATAAATGTGAGCCCTTGGTTGACACAAGTATGAAGCATACCAAATGAAAGTTCTGTCTCTTGCCTAAGTTTCCACCCCTTTTAGCTTTTTAGCAATTGAGAGTACAACATAGGTAACTTTCAAACAAAATTCTGTTTCCTGACCAAGATATGGAGAAAAAAAGTGTTTTTTTTTCCTTTATTGATATTTTACAATGTATGACAGTTTCTTATTATGACACAAAACAGAAACAATACTTAGAATTGTATTTTTTATGTATAATTATTTTTTAACAAATTAAACATGTACACACAATACACATAAAATATTCAACTTGTATACAATAAAAACACACGTCCATGGCAGTGAATGAGTTAAGTGGAGCGGCTCATGTCATCTCTGTTCACTCTAAAGCCAACTTTGCACCTTTAATGTATATTGAATTAATATGTTTAACATGAATTAATGATTTAAGAGACAGACGTTTCCCTTTTACCAACTTATTCAGAACAACCTAACTACATAATTTCTTTGACATCCACTTACTTTTACTTTGCGTCTTGCTTTCTGGGCTTTGTCAATATGGCAGCAAGCCCTTTTAATAAATTATATTTGTACAACCACATTTCTGTTTTAGGGAAAGAGTCCAGGATGCCTAAATGTGTTTCCATTTGAGAAGCCTGATGTCTGAAGAGTTACCAAAAGAGTGGAGCAGGGTACTAGAAGACGACAACTACAGAGCTCTCAAATCTGGAATACAGATGTTTAGAGTTCTGTCATCAACTTCATGTTGGTATTTAAATTAACACTGTTTCGGGGGTATAAATAGTGACTGTGCTATGAAAAGGGGGGTTTGCAGTTGAAGCATGCCTCAACAATCCTATAAAACCCAAAACAATAAATCTTGTCTTTGAAAACCATGTGGTGATTTTATTTTGTAACACTGTTGTTATATAGTTATTGGAATGTTTACGTGAAAGGATTATTCAAAAGAAAATATGAACATTAATATGGTGTCTCATTTATCTAACAATCATTTCCATTTCTCATACCATCAGAAAGTTGTTGGAGACAGTATTTCCTTATAAAGGAATAGTCTGTGAGGGGTAGCTTGATATAGCTGTGCCTCTCTCACTAAGTAGAAACATCAAACATGGGTTTTTCGGTCTTTTTATAATGAGCTGTCTTCAGCTGTCAAGTGGTGGCGGGCGGTTGTAACTGGCTTTCCATGCAATGAAAAACTGACTGCTGTTTCAGCCTTCCGAAAAGCAGGCCATTTGAATAATGTAGAGCAACAGTAAATAGCATTCAGCCTGCAGTCAAACCCCACATTGTACTGAGTAAGGGACTTCACAATGATGGTATCGAAGAAGTCAAAAAGCAAACAAAGAACTACTTCCCTTCAGTTCAGTCTAAACTAAAATATTATACTCAAGTTACCGCACTGAAGAATTAATCCAAAAATAATACTATAGGTTATTGAATAGCACACCAGAGGCTCACAGCAAGAGCAATAGAAATACTTAAAAACACAAGAAGTGCCTCTTTATCAATCAAGTCAAAGACTTGCTGCCTTGTGTGAGTGTCAACAGATCCTGTTCAGGGACTTGTTCGGCTCAAGAGCAAAACACAACAGGTGAGAGCAATTCAGCAGCTGTCAACACGGTCCACAATATAATCAGTCTACAGCCAAGTTCTAAATTCAGGCTACATCTATTAGTTTTGCTATACACTGAGCCTTTGTTATGTTAGAGTGTAGAACACTTATGGTCTGGACATGGCATGTGGCTTAAGGTTTCCTCATACTCAGATTTGATTGAGAAATATTCACTTAAATACTGTGAGTAATGCTGAACTTGAATAGCATACCAGAGGGGGAGTTGGTATTGTGAAAGACTGTAACCGCAAGAGTTGCACCATTCGTTTTAGAGCACAAAAAAACACGTTGTGGTTAAACAAATTAATTTAGCAAGACACTACAGACTCAAACCAAACTCATTAGCTGAATGGATCAGGATTTCTTGGAGCTCAGTATAAATCTGTTTATTACCTAACCATTTGAGCGCATGACAAGTTATAGCAGAGAGATTATGAATTCATTAAATACTCAAGAGTCTTGTGATTTAAGTATTTAGGTTTGAAACTTGTGGGCTTTGGTCTTGTGTAAATGCTGCTCTACCACACTGTGCTGTCAGCTCAAGTTAAACGGCTGATTGTTTATCCAAGCAGCTAACACGGCCAGCAGGCAACTTGATAATATAGGTCAGAGGACTCCAAGCCCACAGCTAAGAGGTGACACTCTATAAGGAGCACCTCGGACAAGTGTCATATTATGTCATATATAGATCAAAAATATTTATCACAACCAACTCAAACAATCATTTATCTTCTTATGTTTGTATTTGACCAGGGAAGGCAGTAACTTTCATGTTGCAATATAAATAATGAATTAGCCTAAATGCTGGACACAATAGTTAGGGCTAGTAAATATGGACATGTTATATTTGTCTAATGTTGACATGTATTTATTTATTTAGTACGTGGTAGAGTGGTAATAAACGGTTTATACTAGTTTATTAAACCAGAGGGTTTAAATAATACTCTCAGACACTTTAATACTGCTCACAGAAGCTGAACAAATGATCCTCTTTATCTATGAGTTTTGTATTGAATTATGACATTAAATAAGTAATGCTAATAAGTGTTAATACTTTGATACAGAAGTGTGCAAACATGTTAAGGTTAAAAATATAGTCTGTGCAGGATATAATTATGTACAATAAAAAGGCAATACAAAAATAAAAATAAATTATTGAAAATACACAAAAATTATGTAAGCATACCATAACTGCTCAGCGCTAACTAGCATTAGCACCCGCACCAACTGCCTGTTCATTTGCAGAATCAAATCCACCGAGCATGCCTCTGTAAAAACTTTTCATCAGAAACAGACTTTTTTAATGAAGAAAAACACATGATACCCTTTGAGATATCCTGTTTTCAAAGAAGTCCACAAAATCAAATAATATTCATGAACATTTATTCTCAGAGGACCTTAGTAACCAATAAATATTCCCACATAACATGGCCCTATGACTAATATCCATAAAATTCAATTTGCATCAGATGAAGAGGTGATAGCGTGGCACTTTGGAATCATTTCAAAATGCTCTTTAGGTGATCCAATTAGAAACAATGCCCCCTGTAATGTCCCATGTCTGCGCTCATGGTCCCCTGCATGGCTCCAGAGGGTAACAGTAAAAGGAGGCATTCCTGAGTGTCAGTATTACAGCTGAGCATCTCATTGCTGGGACAGGACCTTGAGCATCAGAGCTGTGGGTAGCAGTGCCCTGTCATGCTATGAGGCTTTCTGCTGCACACAGGTCAGCAAAGGAATTCCTAAGGCCAAAGGAGATTAGTAATTGAGTAATGGACATAGTGACATGGAAAATAAGGAGACGGAGGCTACGAAACACAATATCTGTTCATTATCTGTGTCCCCTCCTCACAACTGACCTTGGCATTAGTGGCCCAAAAGAAACCTTTCTAAGAAAAAAATGGTAAAATGTGGCATATACATGAATAATTCACAATTAGACTGCTTGTTTACAGTGACAGTAATAATAATTCATTATATGTATTTATTATTGGTAACTCCATGCTACCAAATTATGTGTTTTATTCAGTTGCCTAAAACAAGCTGTTGTTGCAGGAAAAATGTCTGCCACTTTGCGTACAATACATTATTGGCTTTTTAAAAGAGTCCAGGACTTAGCTCCTGATGTTTCGAGCAAGGATGAGCATGATCAGTTTCTCTCTAGTTTCTATGTATAATCAGAATGCAACAAGTGGCCTGTATTCATGCAAACCTTCAAAATAGACGATCAAATTGACAACAAAAATTAAATGAAAGACTAATTCATCAACACTACGCCTGCCTTCAGAGCTGACATAATATAACAGCTGTGAATAGATGAAACACGCTGGCGCAGTGTGACGCAGTGTGTTTGACTCCCAGGTGGCACAAGGCCTTTCTGTGTGGAGTTTTCATGTTCTTGCAGAGTTTGCATTGGTTTCCTCCATGTTCTCAGATGAGAGAAGTTGGCAAACCCATGATTCTTTGTGTTCGCAGACTTCACGTTCCGATTTACGCAGCAGTCAAGTGTCCAGATGGCACGTGCGGACAAAGAGTGGCTTTCTCTACCTACATTAGAAATGTTTAACACATTTGTCAATGTGTATGTGTTCCATGTGTGTGAGAAGCTCACACGCCAGTCAGAACTACACAACTCAGAGAGACAACGCATCTAGGTGAGTTTAGTGTATAAAGGAAGGAATATATGCTTAAAATATCATGTTGGCGTTACGGATTTGCATCGCTCTCACAGTAATATTATGCATTATTTAATAAATGAATATTCTTCAATAACAATATGCATAATAGCACGCATGTTGCGAAGAAGAGCGTCTTACAGCATTTAAAATATTGATTCAACTAAGACCACTCTTAGGGCACATGATAGTTGTCAAAAAAAATTCCATCAACTTCCAAAACTAAAGCTTTCTTGCACATGTTCATTGCTCAGAAAATATTATTAAGGACATAAATGTGTTTTTGGATTTATTATTGGCGTCTTATTCATGTATTTCCATTTCTCAAAACTCATAATAACAACCTACAAAGGCTGGCGGGCAC